TGCCAGCTCACTGCAAAGCAACCAGGTCCATGCTAAAGTCCAACACATGAGCTGCACACCCGGGAAGTACCTCTGAAAACAAACCAGCTATGCTGTGTCAGCTGCTTTACAGATTTGTTCCTAGCCCTCCCAGTCAATGGCTCTCCTAGCAAAAAAAGAGAATACGCCCCAAACAATTCTGCTTTGCTCTATTCAGAAAAATAAGCCCCCCCCAAACCTCCACCCAAGCTCTGTTTACACCAAACCTGCTGCAGCCCTGAATGGTAGCAATAAATGGAGTGAGCTAATGTGTTTGTGACAAATAACCCATTCAAACAATTCAAGCATAATTATAGGCTGGCTCTCTTGATGTAAGGTTGGGTACATCACTGCAGATATTACATTCACCTTATGAAAAGATTGCACGGAGGAGCTCAGTTGGTAACCCAAACAGCATTATATATCACCAGCCTGTCAGCATCAGGAGTGCATGCACCCTGGCATTTGAAGTCCTGGTGTTTTAAGTGATAATCCAATGTACCAGGCATCATTGATCTCTATATAAAAGGGGGCACCACTTTTCTTTTCAACTGGAGCTATTTTTCACTTCTCATCCTGAAGAGTTGTGTGGTGCTGCCCGCAAGTGGTTACACTGCACAGCAGCTCTATCCATAGTGCTCTGGGTCCCCAGAGAGAAAAAATAATCAATACTCCAACGTGGCTTTTCTAAGAGGTCTCTAAGTGCTTCCATGCGAGATGCTGCTCCTCTGGGTTTAGAAATTACTCTGAAGAGAACACGAGAGCCCCCACTGCAAATTCATAATCCTGACACAAACGCGAGCTGCTGCAAGGAATTAAAATTCAATTCATTGGTGAACTGCAAGATGGTCTATCAGCAAGGTGGCATCTGTGACATGAGAAGAGACCTACAAAGGAGACCGACACCTGGAGGCTAAGGGAAAAGGCAAACCATGTTAGAGGAGAACCAGCTGGACACAAGGCAGAGTCACAATGCCCTGCAAAGATGGCCCACCTAACAGGATGAACCTTGACAGGAGTGTATAGCTCCAGGCACTGCATCACCTGAGAAAAGTACAGTCTGGAGAAGAAGACAAAGGCACCTGAAGGGTCACACTTGCTGAGGGCAGGTGAGCAGAGCCCGGGAGGCCTCCAGAGAAGCGTCTGGATAGCGACAGTGAACGCAGGAAACTGATTGAACCTGTTTCTTGGATACAGCCAAAAGACACTAAACTTCTGCCCATTAATTTCTTCCAGGGGGATCTCAAGTTGGCTTTGGCTCTTCCTGCACTTGGGCTGGAAGAAGTCTTTCGTGATCATCTGTAACCTTCATTGATCTCATCCTTCCACTGCCGGACAGCCGACGAGAGCAGGACCAGCCGCACCGTGCAGGCAGGCTTCAGAGCGGTCAGCTGGTGCTTCCGCAGCCTGGGATCATATTCCTAGATAGGGGACTGGTGAGCACGTGTTGAAAGAAGGGATTCATGAGCCATGGCGGATGTGAATGGCCTTGATGGTCTGCTGCTGCCTGGCTGGGTTTTGCTGGGTCAGAGAAACACAGCTTGCACAGGAGGCTGAGGCAGAAAGCCAGTCCCACCCTCAGCGCCCGACCCGTGCCGCAGTCCCAGCGCAGGATGGCTGGCAGGGCTGTCCTCTCCTGGATGTGGCTGCACTAGGGCCACGTGAAGGTTTCTGTTCCGAATGTCACCCGGCATACGTCACCGGCCGTCCCCGTGTCACGGCACAGCACTCCCATCGCGGGACAGCCCAGCGCTCTGTCGGTTATACTGACAGATCCCCATTAGGGAGAAATTAGTAACATGGCTTAAAAATGAGAAAGCAGGCTGCTTGCTTCTGCGTGAGGTCAAGTCGTTTCCTCTGGGGCCAGGAAGGACTGAAGGGCTGGGAAGGACTGGCAGCCAAGGGGAGGAAAGCAGGGGAAAAGGGGAGAAGTGATGTCCCCTGGTCTCACCCCTGTGACCACAGTGGCAGTGACAGCCTCTCTCCCACACACAGCTCCAAGCACAGCCCTTGGGTCGCTACCGGCACTCTTACGTGCCATCGAATACCAATATATTAAAGCAGGGGGCGGAGGGGTGAGCAACTGGCTGCTTGGCACCTCTCCTGCTCTCACTCCAAGGCTCCCAAGGCTCTGCTGAGTCTGGTATCCCCAGGGTGCGATAGCGGAGCAGGCACCTGGCAAGTGTTGTGCACAGGAAGCTGCCAGGAGCAGGCAAAAATTCCTTGGCAGGGCTTTATCATTTTAAAGGGAATAAATTCCAATTGATTGCCCTTGTAGGAGCCTGTGTGGTACTTGCACTCCTAGCCTAAGCAATAGAAATATTAATTGCACTGGTAATTACACTTTCAGCAATGCTGCGGTCCTTTGTTCCATGAGTGGGAGGCCAATATCTGCTGTTCTCCGGTGGCCCCGTCTGGCTGCAGCTTGGAACAGCATTTGCCACTTGGAGGGGAAGGGACACTCCTCCAGTGATCAGGGTGACAGTGAGCCTTGCCTCGCTCACCCAGATCTCCAGGGCACCGGGCACACTCTCCAGGCCAGAATGGGTTCCTGTTGATGGGGGTCACCTCATCTTCCTCCTGCTAAAGGTGCAGCTCGAGAGCTTCACACGCCTGTGCTCCTGCCATGTCACCGGTGCCTACCCCAGACCCGATGTTCTGTCGAGGCTGGGCTCCAGCGTGCACATTTCCAGTCTTTCCCATGCATGAGCTTGCAGTGAGTCACCTGCATTCCTTCTCTGGGCTGTGAATGGCTCCAAAACATGGTACAGACACAAACATTATGTTGCTTTAACTTCTAGATATGTCTTTAGAAGGATGCAGAAGAGCTGTTATCCCCCTGGGTCCTGATGAGCACTGTCAAAGCTTGACCAGGCTCGGGAGAACACAAGGCCTACAATTTACCCTAGGAAATTGCTAAGGAAAAATTATCACAACTGCCATGCTATTGTATGGATAACGGATTAACCCTATAAAAGATCCAGTGCTTGAGAAGTACAGCCTCTGCTTGGCTGAGCAGGAGCCATGTCCACTGCTCCACTACCCTACTGCAACGCAATGCTCTGTTGCCAGCAAAGCTGCAGCGCACGTGAGCTCCTCCAAAACACGCCGGGTACAACCAGAACTGCGCACACGTTCGGCTCAAGGGCGCTCTACCTGCGAGAATACGTCAGCCGTAGCGCAGACCTTCACGCATCAGTGCACCGGCGCTGGGCTGCGTGCGCAGGGCTTAGGGGGATAAGCGTGTGTGCAAACTTAGCCGGGCTCTCCCCGGGAAGCGGGACCCTGCTCCCCCCCCCGGTTGGTTAAGCAAGCTGTAAAATACAAAGCACGGGGCGCCGCAGGGAGGTATAATTGCAGTTTGGATACACGAGACACGCGCAAAGTCTGGGGTTGACTTGCAATCCCACTCATCCTGCCCGCACTGTGTTTTTCCAATCCGTGATCCTGGCTGGCATAGCTCGGGGTGGCTCAGCTCCCACGCTTGCCAGAAACACAGGTCACAGCCATACATCTCTAAATCAATAGCTGCCAACATGCCGCAGCTACTTTGTCACATGCTGGACCACTCACAGCTAAAAGCAAGGTTTCCATGCGGAATTGCTATTGGCTTTAACGCTTAAACAAAATAGCTCCACTCCCGTCCCCAGAGTCTCTTCAAACAATGGCACAAAACACCCACCGGAGCCTGCGGAGAGGAGGGTCTGTGGCAGAAAAATAACCCATGGCTGCTGGTTTTTGAGATATATGCCACACAATTAGAAACACTGGATCTATAAACATCCTTAACAAACCCCAACAGGTCTGGGGGGTTTCTTTTCCTCGCTGCCCATTGTGTACCGCTGCCTTTTAAAATCAAAAAATCTTCCCTTGTTTTTTGCTTTTTGTGCTGAACCACACGTCTCCCTGTTAACTTGGTGGTGCTGGAGGTACCAGCTCTCCTCACCCTGCGGGGCTGGGATAGTTGGGATGGGACCGTGTACCGCGTGCGAATTGCCCATCCACAGGTGGGAAGGATTTTCCCAGAAATGCTCTCTCTTCTTGTTTAAAGAGTGAGATTTCTCAGCTTAGAAAGGGGCAGGTGCTGCTTGTGGAGGTCCCTCTTCCCTGTCGGGATTGTTCTCATCAGTGTTTCAGAGCAGATCTAATTACAGGCTGTTCCATTAAATTACAATTTCATATACCCTCCTTTTTTAGGTTAACCTTCAGTAACTGGCAAGAAGCAGAACTACATGGGTGGAGGCAACAGGCTATGGATTTATGACATGCTGGTATTCAAAGCAACCCAGAGCGAACACAGAAATCCCGAACTGTGCTGCTGCCGTCAATTTGATAATGAGAATGTGATTCGAAATAAAAACATCTTGGGTGCCAATTCACTACAGCAGCTAACAGAAATAGGCAGAATACCTAGAAACTGAGGACTCAGTGCTCCAAACACATCCAAAGCTCGAATATCATACGGTACCTTACAAAAACAGAGCGCGTGGCTGCACTGGGGCTACAGTACCACAAGTGACAGGCCACTTTGTGAACCCACGTGTGAGCTTGAGCAGAGAGAACAGGATGCTGTATCTCGCTGTAGCTGAGCGAGGGCTGCCTTCTCTGGGGCTTGCGCAGCCTTGGATGCTTCACCTCCCCTGCCCACATTCCTGCAGTCACCTCAACGCGAAACAGTTCATGTTTGAGCTGCAAACACTCCCGGGCAAAGCCTGGCTGAGTTCTGCCAGAGTCTGTCATACCTTTTAGCTGAGTAAAAGCAGCTTCTAAACGCTGCAGAAGAAAGGGGGCTGCAGGGCCTCGTGCATTTGAAAGGATCTGGCCTTGCAGGAGTTGTTCTCAGTCTCAGGTCAAGCCTGAAGCCTGCATTAATCTGCTTTAAAGTGGCACAAGGAGTTGTGACCCTGTGCCAGAAGGCAGGGCAGTTTTCCTTTCAATGCACCGTCCCCTGTCTGCTGCATGCAATCTTACACAGGACTTACTTGTTGCTGTCCCGGTACTGATAGATATAACAGCCTTGAGGCATCCCACTCTCCTGGTCCAAGGTAAACGAGAGCTTCAGCTGCAGAGAGGAGAGGGGGTGGGGGAGAATAAAAAGAGAGAGAGAAAAAAAAGCAAGATTTTAGGCTCACAGTCATCACAGCAACTTCAAGCGAGGCTTGTGGGAGAAAGCTTAACTCACCGAGCCTGACACGCAAACACTGTGGCCTGGAACATAGCGCGGGGTTCCAAACCTCAGGGAAAAGTCACATGCGTTGCAGAAACCTCTCGCTTTTTCCACCCTTTGTTACTATAAAGTGTTTGTGGTTCTTCTGAAATGCATGGGTCATAATGGTTCACCCCTCCAAACCCACACACACACACCAGCCTTCAGCAAAGCGATTGCGGTTCCCCTCAGACACTAAAGAAATGAGCCTTCTCCATCAGCAGCTGTAGTTCCCACGAGTCTTTCCCTGAAAACTTTCCCAGCTCCATCTCTTTCCTCCAGTGCATTAGAACAGAAGGAGAAACCACAGAGGGAAAGGTGACAGATTTTTCCTTCTGTGCAGAGTTATTAAGGAGCTGTTAGAAGGGTTTGCAGTTTGGATCCGCGTCCGGCAGGAGGCTATGATGTGACCTGGAAGCTGCTTTCTTTGCAGCTCCAAGGAGGCGTTCGGCAGGGGCTTTCAAATTTCAAACACGGCTCATTTTATTTAAGGGGGAAAAATTAATCCTCTTTCAACAAGCAACAGAACGGTTCTGCTGGGAGACTGTTTTGCTGAAAATGTCTCCACTGATTTTATATGCTGAACTGCCTAGAAAACAGCACAGGGCTGAGCCCAGCACCAGCCCTGCACATCCAAACAGCACCTCGTTCCCCAGGAAAAGGCTGCTGGCCCCCAGACCAGTGTCCCACCAGCTCCCACAGCCACGAGGTGCAGCCCTTTGGCACAGCAGGAGCCAGCAGGCTGGGTAAGAGGGGCAGCATCCTCCAGAGGAGGCTGTCTTGGGGTCACAGAGATCACCGACAGCAGGGCTGTTACCACTGCTGGATCACACGGGACTCTTCAAACGGTGTGGGAAGATCATTGCAAGGGCTGAAAGTTGAGGAAGGTTTGCTACGATGAGCCCAACTTTTTTAAACAGGGGAAGGAGAGAGCAGTGTTGAGCCACTCCATCTGAACACAGACTCCTCTGGGCTCTAAAGAAATTGCTAACTCAAATTAACAGCTTATTCAGGAATGAACACAGAATTAAAACAGTTTTCTCCCGTAGGCTATTAAGAAACCCTGTGTGCTGAATCATTAGATGGTGCACTGATTTCCCCCTCCCTAAAGGGTAGCAAAGTCATACGCTGTGCTCTCACTGACCCAAATAAAACTGCATACCGTGAAATCATCAAAAAATTCACCATCTTGGATATCAGGTTGAGAACACAGTACCAGGCTGAGGCCAAATCCAGCTGGTCTCTAGACTTCTACATCCCTAACTCTGTAAGCCACTCTGAAACACACGCTCCCGCAGCAGCACGTATCGCTCGTGTCCGTGCTTTGCACATGTCTGTGGTACAAGTATCACGATTCGCACTGCTGCCTGGAGGCAACCTCATATGCTCCCAGCCCCTACCCCTTCCTGCAAGCTCTGATCTTACTCCAGCTCAGCATATTGCCCAGATCCATTTTGGAGCCCCGTGTCTAAGGCAGGACTAGCAGGGCCAGCTGGGGACGATTCTTCTGGATGAGATCCACAAAGCTCCAGCTTTTCCAGAGGCTACAGCAGCACATGGCAGCTACCCCACGGGAGCAGGAGGTCACCAACAAAGAAGCAACCTCCCCAAGGGAGGCAAGTGCTCACCGTGCTGCGGCACGGGCACAGATCGCTTGTCTACAACCACAGTCCCCCAAGTTAGCTGCCCTGGTTTAGGGAACTGAAGGAGGAACCTGTCCAAAGCCATTTTTCTGGACGAGGTTTTCCAAAGCTTTCCTGCTAGAGTATCAGAAAGCACCTCGGAGGCAAAAGGGACAGCGGTTATCTCGGGCACAGCTCCACCTGGTCCTGTGCTTTGAGGAAAGGGCACGGCACTGCAGAGTTTCTAGAGAAGAAACCCAAAAGAAAGCAAAATCAGGCAAAAGTGTGGCTTAGGCCGCCTTCAAAAAATATTTGAGGACAAACTCAGGAAT